CAACAATGGCCAATAACAGATTAACCATAGATAATGTCATTTACTCTATCATCTATGGATTAACAGTGCATTAACAATCATTCATACATGTACATGTAATTATAAATTACTCTTATTATTATTATTATTATTATTATTATTATTATTATTATTATTATTAGTTCTTAATCATTGTTACTGTACATTTGTTATATTGTGTATTCTATTCTCACATTGTTAGTTTGTTCTCTCTCAGAGTTAATATAGTGAGAGAAGACAAGTGAGTGAGTCTATCATCTTGTAATGTCTGAATCTTATTTCTAAAAATGCTCATAACTTGAAAATTATTTGTCGGAAACAACTCAAAATTTCTACACAGCATCAGGACATTAATATGTATCAGAAAATGTAACAAAAATTGGGGGTGATTTCGGAGCCATTTTTTACAAAAAAGTATGGGCTATTATAGCCTTGGGTATTTTTCAAAAATTGGCTTATTTTTAAAAATGCTCATAACTCGAAAATCACTTGTCAGAAACAACTCAAATTTTCTACACAGCATAAGGACATCAATATGCATCAGGGAATGTAATAAAAATTGGGGGTGATTTCGGAGCCATTTTTTACAAAAAACCATGGGCTATAGTACAGGGAATTTTTCAGAAAACGGCTGTTTAATGTTTAAGCTAATTCTCATTACTAAATTTTAGAGCTACGTGTGTACATGTACACATATCAAAAGTGAAAAATATGCCAAATTTTGGAAAGAAGAATTTGAGATAAAAGCAGCGGTAAAAGTTTATTACTATAATTTTTATTCTTCCACATGGTTACATGGTTACAGGGTAAACACGTTAAAAATGAAAGTGGCTTTGACTATACAGTACTTATTAAAAGACACATTAATATTCTTATTCACGAGGTAGCATAGCTTTCATCATCACAACTTCCTTTCTCACAACACCTCCCCTCACTCCACCCACTCCTCATCCTTACCTATACAACATCACATGACTATCATCAAAAGTCACATGATCTCTCACTTGTATGGTCACGAGGGGATCTTGAGGGACGAGGGAGAGGTTGGCCGTCACATGTGGTCTCCTGGTTCTTCAATACAAGAGATACTAGAGGACCAATACTGTTCCTTTCCTGAGGATGTCAGGTCTCATTCATTTAGTTAAGAGGAGAACATCAAAAAGAAGGTAATGAAGAGACTCAAACCTTCCTAACATATAGGAGAGACTATAATAGAAAGAGAGGGAGGGAGAGATATACATAGAGAAAGGAAAGAAGGAAAGGAATAGAATGAGGGGGAGGAGGGAAAAGGAGGGAAGAAAAATAGAAAGAAGAAAGGGAAGAAAGAAAAGAAACAAGTAAAGAAATGAGAAAATGGAGAGAAAATACATATGTACATGGTGATAGGAAATGTTTCCTGTTATTCAATCACTTTTCCTTCAAATTGTGTGTGCCACTGCTTAGGTACAGTTTTCATGGATTAGTAAAGTGTACGAATCAAGTTAGCAAATTAATAAGTTAACTACAATGAAGCAGCTAAAAGTAAGAAAAACAAAAAACATGCAGTACATGTACATGCATCATTAACTGAAAATGACTATAAATACACATGTACATGTACATGTATCAATTAATGGACAATGTTATGAAGACAATTGAGGTAATACTGTCCATGCAGTATAGCTAATAGGAGGAGCACATGAAATAAAAGCTGAGATCTCTCCCCCTCTCTCTCTCACTCTGATGTCCTTATGACCCAAAAAGCAAAACTAAAATGATTTTTGTCAATTTATAAAATTTAATACCTGACAGATAAGTACATGTATGCATGGAGAGAGATATACATGTACATATGGTAGAGAGTGGATACAATATTTACCTTGCAAATATTTTAGATAGTTTATCCAGTTTGATCACATTATTAGGTAGACATGTTAACTCATTGTAATGGACCTATAATAACAATAACACACAACATGTAAACATAATTATCAGTCTTTATACAAAAATAAACAACAAACTAAACTATAAACAATCTACAACATTCAAGGGAGTTCTCTCAAACCATGCAGTATACCATGCTATTACAATTTAATTCATACATACATGTACACTAAACATGTATTATAATGATATTAAAATCTTATATTTTCATTCTCACCTCAAGCACTGACAATGAATTAAAGTTTTCAATATCTTCAGATATTTCTTTGATTTCGTTAGATGATAGATCCAGTCTAGTCAGTTCCACCTGGTCCCACCATCTCTCATCAACATCAAATGAAGCAGTACTACCATCAGGAGGATCAATATTGAGTCTCCACAGTTTAGGAGGAATAACACTAATGCCCCTGTAATTATACACATTCACCCACTAACTTTCATACATACATGTTTATTAATGCGTCATAAAAATGAAAATTGAAAAAAAACTTATTTCTGTCATTTTTGATGAATTTAAAAAACATGTTACAAGTCTCACACAGCCCGGCTCCTACCTGTTCAGTTGACAGGTTCAGTGAACCGGTTTTACGAGCTTCTTTCAATAAGGATTCTGGTACACTCCCCTCCTTACCTACCCCATCACATTGACTAGGAGAATTGAAGAAGTTGGGATTTGGTTTGAGTCTAGTAGAACCAGCAGGAGATTTTCTACTGGCACCACGACTGGAACTCATTTTATGGATAAATGGGTGTGGTCTTACGTTGCACAGTTTGGGTGGGGCTGGTATTTTGCAAGAATGGCATCTGACAGTGAGGGCCACTATTCTCTTCTCTTTGTATCTCTTTCATTCATTCTTTGTCTCTCTTACTCTCTCACTTACTTTACTCCTCTGTATCCTGTCCTTATTCTAACTCATCACTATATTACTGTTACTCTGTTACTGGTACCTCTTGTTCTCTATAGACTATCAACCAGTGGAGAGAAGAAACCACTCCACAGTAAAGGTAGGAGACTACCTATATATGTGGGGTGGGTACGGGTCTGGAGTAGACTATGATGTGATGGAGGTGTATCACTTACCAACTGGTGCTTGGGACCAGAAACCTACTACTGGTACCCCACCAACAGGTACCTATGGGTATACATCAGTGGCTATTGGGAAGGACATATATTATTTTGGTGGATCTGGTGTTGGTGCTTATCAAAACAGCTTACATTGTTTCAATGTGGATTCATTGAAGTGGAGGGAACTCTCTCCTTCTAGTTCTGATAGCAGTCCAGTGACGAAGTCCTGCTGTGGAATAGCATCAGCTCATTTTGATGGTGAAGACTATCTTTTAATAATTGGAGGAGTTGGCTCATCTTCTATCATTACTCCGAAGCAACCTGATGCTCAGTATTCAGCTGATGGTAGATGTAATGAGATACATTATTACAGGATTTCATCAGGTCAGTAATTCTCATCATTGATGCACAATAGTTGATGAGTATTTCAAACTGAATAATTATATTAATGTACATAAAACAGATTGTTAATAATTAAGTATGTTTGTTAGTGTGTCTCTGTGTGTCATGTGTCTGTGTATGATAGTGCATATAATGTATGTGAGAATTTATGAATGTATGACGTGTGTATGTGACGTGTATCTATAATGTGCATGTTATGTGTGTGTGAGTATTATCATGTATCTGTGTGTGTGTGATGTTTGTATATGTACATGCATAGATAATAGAGTAAATGAAAAGGATTGGCAATGGGGCGTAGCAACAGGAAATGCTGGTTGGGTTACCACATGACAGCCATCAGTGTTTTGATTGATTTCCCATCTCCTACATTGGTGAAGTTGCTCTGACAGGATTTTGAAGGAAATTTGTGGTGCTCCAGGATAGCGCTTGCTTTTGATATATAGCCTATTCCACATAGAATCTTTAGAGCTACCTGCAGCAAGGTTTTTATGTCCAAAAAGCCATTTTACAACCAGTTAGAGGTACACAAAGTCGCCTGTTTTTGAAACACTTTATCGTTCGTAAAACACTCAAGCTTCATTGTATCAATATGCAAGTTAGCTAGCTCATTCTATAGCAGATTTCAAGCTCTTTAAAATGGTTATACTTATTTGTAGCTCAAGAACAAAATGAGTCTCTCAGAGGGGGAAAGATGGTATTTCTAGTTAAAGAGTGATACGGCTACTAATGCATTGATTTACTGAACAAAAAATATTAATACAAAGCATAAACATTGGTTAGTATTGTGTGTGAGTTTTGTTTGCATGAATTGTATTCTCTTGGAGTTATTCAAGAATAAAGCAAGAAAATCCCAATTTTTTACTCCAAAATCGGTCAAAAAATCCCAACCCTCCTCTGTTTACTTAGCAACAATGCAAATGAATAGAGGTTTTCTCACGCCCACACTTCCATTTCCAATCCCTTTCATTTACTCTATTATCTATGGTACATGTATCAATGCATAAGCTAATGTGACATGAGTGTGTGTGTGTGTAGATTCATGTTATTTATTATCATTTTTAATAAAGTTCTGTATCACACAATTAAGTCACAAATTAACCACATACAATGTTCCATGAGTTTTGTATAATTATTCATTAACAATCATAACTGACATGTACCAGAATAGATTAGTAATCTTGAAATAAGGAGACCCCCTGGACGTCTCCTTCATGTGTACAGGTGTGGTGTGTGTGATGGTGTGTGTATCCATACATGAGTGTATCTGTGTGTGTGTGTGTGTGTGTATCATGTGATAGTGATGTGTGTCTATGCATGATGTGTATGTATGAATAATAATGTACACACATATACACATACATATGTATGATGAATGTGTATAATGTATGTGTGTGTATGTGGTAAGTAAGTGTACATGAATGTTTGTACATTATTATTAGATCAATGGATATCTCCTGTTGTTACTGGAGACAGACCACCTCCTATTGATGACTTCACTCTAACACCAGTTACTAATAACACTGCAGTAATGTTCGGAGGCTTTATTGGTAATGAATACAGTAATAAACTGTATATGATAAGTTTCACTAAGACATCAGTGGTGAGTTAATACTGTAGGATGGGTTTTGATTGTGAAATTTATTTGACTACAAATTGTGGATTTACAATTAAACTTTATTTTATTATTCTCTCAGGATATATTAGAAGTACCTAATCCTGGAGGATCAGTGCAATGGCCTAATGGAAGATATGGTCATTCCAGTGTACTGATTACCACTAGTTCAGGACCACACTTACTAGTGGTGGGTGGATCACGTGCCTATGATGTATGGTTACTGGACATTAACAAAAGAAAATGGAAAGAACTGGTAAGTATTATATTATGATGCTTGATAATGAAACATAAAGTAATTAACTAAATTTGTAACTCATGAGGTTTGTAATGTACATGTACATATTATGATACTCAGTGAAAACTACTGATGAATAATGCTGGTATTCAGTATGTGTGTGTGTGTCTGTTTTTAGTGTGAATGTGTGTTTGTGTGTTTTTGTGTTTTGTGTTTGTTGCTTTACCTAAATATGTGTGAATATACATGTGTCTGTGTGTGTGTGTGTAAAGATGGATTGACAATTGATAGAGTGTCAATGCTGGAATTAAAATAAATTGTATTTTATATACATTGTGTAGATTGTGTATGTACATACATGTATTTGTGTGTATGTGTGCATTTGTTTTAATATGTGTATGTGTGTACTAACACGTACATCTTGTGTACATGTAGCATGTACATGTGTGTGTATGTGTGTGAGCAATTATGCATGCTTTACATGTAGCTTTATATGTGTATGCATGTATAGATGTACATGTATGTGTGTTAGTGTGTCATTAGTATGTGTATGTGTATGTGTGTACATGCAGACACTTAGTAAGTTCTTAATTGAGGACTCACATGATATAATAACAGACTCAGTTGTGTATACTTGTCTACTAATATATTGTGTATTATTAATTTTATTATGTGATCTTTGTGTTACATAAAACACAGTGTGCAGACTATAAAACTGTGAGTTAGTTATTGTGTTTATTAACCAGATATCAAATCAATTAATGTGTCATACACAAATTAATTATTATCATTTTAATTTTATAGATTAATCTACCAGACAATGTCACTAACAGACACTGGCATTCTCTGTCAGTGTGGAGTATGACCCCAACTACTAACTGGATAATTGTGTTTGGAGGA